TTGTTCTTGTTATATTGTCGAGTCACCTGCAACTCATAGCAACCCTATGTACAACAGCCCTAAACTCTGCTCAATCCTGAGCCAATCTCACTGTCTCTGACACACCTACCCAACTACCCCAGTCACTGAATCAGTCCACCTAGAGGGTCTTCCTCTCCTGCCCTGTCTCTCTACCCACCCAAACATGACATCCCTCTCCAAGGACTGGTTCCTTCTTTCAACATGTTCAAAGTATGTCAGACAAAGTTTCAGAATCCTTGCCTCCAAAAAGTAGCCTGGTTCAGCCCTCTCCAGGATGAACTTGTTTGTTTTCTTAGTGATTAGAGAGAAAATCAAAGACAGAGAGAGCAGAAAGACAGATATAGATCAAGAGAGCTTTCACTGGGTTTGCTTAGAGAAGCTAGCCTATCAAATTCAAAAAATGTATGTCATGGCTCAAAGAACTAAAACAAAGGGATAATGTTGTTGTTGTTGTTGTTTATTGTCTTCAAGTCGAGCACAACTCATAGTGAATCTATGAACAAAAGGCCTGAAGTCTTTCTATAACTATCAACATTAATCAAAGTTCATAGAGTTTCCAGAGGCATATCGTTTAGGAAGTGGGTGACAATCCTGCTTCCAAAAAGAAATAATAGTCACCATGATTTTTTAAATGGGAAGGCAACTCACCCTTCATCCACTAGGTGTTTGTGGGTGAAGGCCAGGAGGTCAGCAGCTCGGCCTGTGCCTTCACAGACCACCACGGGGTCTTTGTCCTTCACAGTCTCCCACACGGAGATGATCACATTGGGGCCTCCTTCCACCACCAGACCCACCACGGGCACACCTTGTCTTGTACCTGTTTCAGACCACAAACAACATCACGACATTTCACAGGATTGTTCATCAGTCAATCACCTAGTTTGATTTCCCAACACAAGTTTTTCAGTTACTATATATGCTCATCCCTTGCCTCAGCGTGTCTCTCCACTTTACCCAGGCTTTCTTACCTCAACACCAAGTAAAGACGTGGAAAAAAATGTTGGATAAATATGGTGAGAATATCATCAAGCTTTAACCTAACAGTTAAAAATCTTTCAATAAATAAAAATAATATATAGCACTAGTTATTATCAAGTGACTTCTCACTCCTGGTGACCACGTGTACAGAGCAGAACTGACTGAATCATGATCAACAAGGATTTTCAATGTCTAGGACCATTCATAAGATGATAGCTGGATCTTTCTCAGAGTCATGTGTAGGTGGATTTGAACTATCAACCTTCCAGTAGTAGCCAAACTCTTCAACATTCGTACCTTCTAGATCCAAAAAGATGAACATAGAAATTCCATATTTCCTGACTATTCCACTGCTATGAATATACCCCAAGAGAAATAGAACCAAGATACAAATGGAGATTTGTGTACCAACGTTCATAGCAGTGTTATTCACAATAACAAGAAAATGGAAAGGATCCTTATTATTAAAACTCTGTCTGGTTTACAGGTTCTTCCTGGTCCAGGTTCACCCTTACAAGAAATGTAGCTTTCCATAATCATCACTATACAAATCCATTCTGCCCTGGCCTGTTTTCTGATTCCTCTTCAACCATCCAAATTCCCATGTTGATACTATCTCTCCTCCTTCTTGCCATCCATCCAAACCTAACCCCTTCCCCAAAGCCCCAGCTAAAGTCCACTATTCCATGCAACCTCAGCTGCTGCCACCCAAAGAATTTCTCACAGCTGTCACTCACAATTCTGTACCACCTTATACTCTGTCATCTTCTGGCTCTGTGATACCAGCTTAATCTCTCTGTCTGCTCTAGGGCAGGAACTTACTTGACACCACTGGTGGCTCAGTGATATAGCTCTCTCTTTCCATACTGAAGACTCACGTTTGACCTCCAGCCAAGGCACATGTGACACAGCCACTGCCCTGTTGCAATCTGTCCATAGAGGTCACGTGTTACTATGACACCAAACAGGTTTCAGCTGAGCTTCTAGACTAGGACAGACTAGGATGAATGTCCTGCAATGTACTCACAAAAAGCAGACAAAAAAGGCCTATAAGTCATAAAAAGTCTGACTTGCAAGTGAGTATGGAGATGGTCCAGGATCAAGAAGCATTTCAATCTGTTGTACATGGAGTTTGCATCGCGAAACACAGAGTCCAGATAAACAGCAGTAAAAACGCTGTGCAAACATGTGAAGGGAGCTCCTTGCCCGTTGCCACACCCCACACATTCCCAGCTTTCGGGGCACACTGACCAGGTTCCCATGGTACTCACGGCTGTGTATTTTCTGCAGGGACAGGTACTTTTCCAGATTCCTCCTGAGCTTCATTTCATTTCCGTACTTTCCCACAGTCCCATCATCAGACAGGATGAAGTGGGAGTGCATGCTGTTGAGCGTGGTGAGCTTGCTGAGGGGGTTGCCCAGAGTCTGGTACAAGCAAACCACCTGAGAGGCAGCAAGAACAAGGGAGGTCAGCCCTCCCAATAACCACAGAGCCTCAGGACCCCAGCCTGGCCCTCCAACCTGCAGAGCTCTTAGCACGCTTAATAACTGTGATAATAACCATGTGTTCCTTAGAGCGGTGCTTCTCAAACTATCTTTCATGAGAGATGAAATTGCTCTTTCAAATGAATCGTTAGGTGGTCCCACCATCACACACGAGGAGTACACCACTGATACTTGTGTGCATGAGCTACGCTCATCACAGAAGGCCAACAGTGCCATGGAGGAGAAAAAAGAAAATCTGTTCATTAAGAAAATTATGCATACTGCATTGAAGCCTATGAGGGAGAAAATCGTTTACAAGTAATATATTTTAAGGCATTGTGATTATCGTAAGAGTTCAGAATGAGGGTTGCAGAGTGGAGTATACTCAGTGGGTTTGGGGGTGTGTGGGGGGATTGTATACCAATGAAGGAGTTTTTCTTTTGCTTTTCAAGGAGAAGAACAAACTGGGGCTGGGGAGAAAAGTGCAACAATGAATGAATGGAAATCCAAAATCTCTGTAAATGTTCATCAAAATTAATAAAATTTTAAAAATCGAGAAAAAAAGAAATTTCTGTTACACTTGTAACAGTAAACAGTAAACATTTGACACTGATAATTTTTTTTATTTTATTATTTTTGTGTGCGTGTACCGTCAAATCAGATCTGACTGGTACAGGAGGTTACCCCTCCTTCCCCGGCAGAGTATCTGGTGGATTCAAACCGTGCACCTCTGGGATTGTAGTTGCAGCTTCTTGCCACTAGGCCACCAGAGCTCCCCTGATACTGATAATTTTTACAAATAACATTTTTATATACATATCAGTTTATCTTCCATCATATCATCGTAGGCAAATACATGTATGAATGCCTCTGGAAACTTTGATAAATGTCGATAGTTCTTTTTCAGGTCTTTTATTCATAGGTTGCTATGAGTCGTGCTTTACTAAACGGCAATAAAAAAAAACAGCTATATATTCATTTACACACCAATAAAATACGGAGTAATGATGATGTTGTTGTTGTTCTTGTTATGTTCCATCAAGTCTCTTGCGACTCATAGCGACCCTATGTACAACAGCCCTAAACTCCGCTCTGTCCTGTGCCAATCGCACTGTCTCTGACACTCCCATCCTAATTATCCCAGTCACTGAATCAATCCACCTCATAGAGGGCCTTCCTCTCCTGCACTGTCCCTCCACCCTCCCAAGCATGATGTCCTTCTCCAAGGACCAGTCTCTCCTTACAACATGTCCACAGTATGTTAGACGGAGCCTCAGAATCCTTGCCTCCAAGGAGCCACCCGGTTTAACCCTCTCCAGGACAAATCTGTTTGTTTTCCTAGAAGTCCATGGTATTCTCAATACTCTTCTCCAGCACCACAGCTCAAAGGCATCAATTCTCTTTCTATCCTCCTTGGTCATTGTCCAACTCTCTAATGTATAACAAATGATTACAAAGACCATGGCCTGTATCAGACACACCTAGGTCTCCAGAGAGACACTATTGCTCTTCAGTACTTTGGAGAGGACCCTAACAGCAGACTTTCCCAAGTCAATACGTCTGTTAATTTCCTGAATACTGGTGCCAAGAGTGTTGACTGTGGAGACAAGCAAACTAAAGCTGTGAACAATCTCAATCTCTTCACCATCCATCCTGATGCTGCCAACTGGCCCAGTGGTGAGAATATTTGTCTTCTTGACATTGAGCCTCAATCCATATTGGAGGCTGCAGTCCTTCACCCTCTACAGCAGGTGCTTCAGGTCCTCTTCAGTTTCAGCAAGCAGGGTTGTGTCATCTGCATAACGCAGATTGTTGATAGATCGTCCACCACTCTTGACCCCACATTTCTCCTCATAGAGCCCAGCTTTCCAGATAATCTGTTCTGCATACAGGTTGAAAAGGTATGGAGATAGGACACAACCCTGGTGTACACCCTTCCCAATTTTGAACCATGCAGTGTTCCCTTGCTCTGTTCTGACGACTGCCTCCTAGTCCAAGTATAGGTTTCACATTAACTATCAAGTGTTCTGGAATTCCCATTCTTCTCAGAGTCAGCCACAGTTTGTTATGATCCACACAGTCAAATGCCTTTGCATAGTCAATGAAAC